TAAAATGTTATCATTTATTGCAAGAGAAATTGAATACAAAAGACATTCAAAAGACCATATGTGGAGTACTATGCATAGTTTTAGTCACCTTATTTAAAGAAGGATGTAAATGCATTCGAAGTACTGAGAAGATTTAACAGAATAATATAATAGAAAGTGCTGGAGAAATTCAATGGCCCGGCAGCATCTGTGGTGAGAGAAACAGAATTAATGTTTGAAGTCCAGTGACGCTTAAAGATGCTGCCAGACCTGTTGAGTTTATCCAGCACTCTGTTTTTATATTTCATACCTCAAGCATTAGTAGTACTTTGTTTATACCAGCATAATACCTGGAACAGGTGAGTTGCTTTTATGAGGAAATGTACAGGTTAGTCATGTTCTGCTAGGGTCTAGAAGTGTAAGAGGCAACTTGATTTAAACATACAAGATCCTGAGACATCTTGACAAGGTATATATTGAGAAATTGTTTCCTCTAGTGAGAGAATTTAGAACTAAGGGTTACTGTTTAAAAATCAAGGATTCACTTATTTAATACAGGGATGAGGTGCATTTTTTTTTTTTACTTCAGAAGGTCATGAGCCTTTAGAATTCCCTTTTTAACAGCCAGTAAAAGCAACATCTTTGAATATTTTTGAGGCAGATGTGGATGTGTTCCTGATAAGCAAGAGGATGAAAGTGCTATGGGATAAGTAGTTTTGAGGTAACAATCAGATCAGCTGTGATTTTACTGAATGGTAGACTAGACTCAAGAGGATAAATGGCCTACTCCTGCTCCTTGACCATGTATATGTTCTACAGGCAGCTCACCAATTTAATGAAAGGTGTTTGAGCCAGCTTACCTTTGTAGGTAGTGGGATGTCCTGAGATCATGACAGGTACTGTATATATGCAAGTTATCCAAAGCTCTTATGAAGAAAAATATATTACAGTATTTTATTACATTTCCACAAGTGGGCACAATTGCTCAATTAAATGGTTGTTGAAAAGAAGGTAGCATTTGACATTAAAGCAAAGCCAATGAAGTTGAAACATCAGAATGGCTACACGGTCGAGCTTTCAATTACCATTTTCTAAAAGAGCAAATCCTTCAAAGAAACATTGACTTTGTGACATCGTCGTCATTACTATAGTTTTAAAACGACTAAATTTTATACGACGTCAGAAGATGACATTGTAAAATGTTGAGTAGGGGTATTCTTGATAGGAATTCTGATTTTTTTTCTCTCTATTTGAGTAGGTGGCAGTGAAGGAGGAGATGAATGGCCAAAGTTTTACTATATACATTAGTCTTATAGCACTTGAGAAATAGGGAGTCAGTATGAAGGGAAGATATGAAGAATAATCAACATTCCCAAAGGAAAAGTTTTTGCACTTGATCTTTTGTTGCCTTATTGACTTTAATATTCAGAGCATGTGCAAATTCAATAATGGCATTCGTCACACAGTGCATCTTTAATCTGTCCACTCTTACTATATCTATGCTGTTCCAGGGTCAGCTCGATGATAGCTATGATGAGAAGCTTATTGCTTTCTTCCCTCTATGAATTGTTGCCTTGGAAACAGCACTAAGGGGAAAGGCTATTCTCATTTAGCCGGAATGCCAGATTTGGCAGAGAGCAGGAATTCTTCCATCAATTGCCATGGTTTTATTCAAGCATAGGAGAATTATGACGTTTATTTGGTTTCTAAAGTAATATATCCTATATATTGTTGGTGAGCTATTAAAGTTTCTGAGCAGTTTATAACGCCACGTTTCACCTCACCTTTATGTTTATCATTATTGATTCACTTGCCAGTCACAAAGAAGTGACCTTAGGTAAAATATACATAAGGCAACAACAAAGCTTTTCAATCACATGGCCATAACTAGGCAAGTGCTATAATTGAGGCTTAGCTTTGGGTGCACTTTCACTCGATGTACAGAATCAGTCTTTAGAAGCTCCTGTCACTTCCCAGCACTAAGAATTCAGCTTCACAAAAACGATGGGCTCCAATGAGGAAACAGAGACCTGCTCTAAATGTTACAAACATGTTGATGGAGAAAACTACAGATGACCTCATCAAGGACATTTTCAAATACAGCTTGCAGTAAAGACCATAGTTTGAAAAACGTATGCGTGAAGTGTAAAGTCTTGTAAAACAATAATCTGTCAATAAGTCTCCATAGACTTACCATAGCATAGGGCTCCACTGTCATTAGAGAAAGACAGCTAGCAGTGGTCTAACCTGAGGGCCACCACTCCTCAAACAAGGGGAGAGTCCTTCATATTAAACATAGCTAGTTCAGGATTTGAAACCATGCTGTTGGCATCAACCCACAATGCAAACCAGTCATCCAAACAGTTGAGATGACATAGTATGGAGTTGGAGAAGCACAGCAGGCCAGGCAACATCAGAGGAACAGGAAAGAATCGGGACCCTTATTCAGAAATGGGGAGGGGGTAGGGAAATCAGAAATAAACAGAGAGAAGGGGTGGGGCTGGGGAAGGTAGGTGGAATGGTGATAGGTGAGTGCAGGTAGGGAGTGGTGGGGATTGGTCAGTGAGGTGGGAAGGACGGATAGGTGGGAGAGAAGATGGACAGGTTGTGTCACGTCAAGGAGATGGGGATGAGAGGGAGAGTTGGACATGGGATGAGGCCAGGGGTGGGAAGATTTTAAAACTGGTGAAATCCATGTTTAAGCCATCGGGCTGTAGGCTCCCAAGGCGGAATATGAGGTGTTGCTCCTCCAGTTTGCGGGTGGTGTCATTGTGACACTGGAGAAGGCCCAGGATGGACATGTCGCCCATGGAGTGGGAGGGGGTGTTAAAATGGTTCGCGACCAGAAGGTGTTGCCATTTGTCACGTATAGAGTGCAGATGCCCTACAAAACGGTCTCTGAGTCGACACTTGGTCTCACTGTTGTAGAGGAGGCCACATCGGGAGCAGCAGATACAGCAGACCAAGTTGACGGATGTGCAGGTGAACCTCTGTCTAATGTGGAAGGTTTGTTTTGTGCCTTGAATGAAGGTGAGGGGGGAGGTTTCGGGGCAGATGTAGCACTTCCTGCTGTTTCAGGGAAAGGCGCCAGGGGTGGAGTGGTTAGTGGGGAGTGTGGAGCGGATGAGGGAGACGTGGAGAGAGCGGTCCCTACGAAAGGCAAATAGGGGTGGGGAGGGAAATATCTCTTTGGTTGTGGGGTCAGATTGTAGGTGGCAGAAGTGGCGGAGAATGATTCGTTGGATGCAGAGGTTGGTGGGGTGATAAGTGAGGACAAGGGGGATTCTGTTTTTATTTTTTTTGGGGGGGAGGGGGTTTTAAGGCAAAAGTGTGGGAAACACAAGAGATGCAATTGAGGACATTTTTGATCACTGGACGGGGAAGGTTACAGTTCTTGAAATAGGAGGAAATCTGGGATGTGCGGGAGTGGAACACCCCATCTTGGGAGCAGACGCGGCAGAGGCGGGGGAATTGGGAGTAGGGGATCGCATTCTTGCAGGAGGGTGGGTGAAAGGAGGTGTAGTCCAGGTAGCTGTGGGAGTCATTGGGCTTGAAACAGATGTCAGTTTCAAGGTGGTCACCAGAGATGGAGACAGAGAGGTCCAGGAAGGAGAGGGAGGTATCGGATACAATCCAGGTAAGTTTCAGGTTGGGGTGAAAGGTGTTAGTAAAGTTGATTAACTGTTCAAGCTCCTCGTGGGAGCACGAGGCAGCACCGATACAGTCATCAATGTAGTGGAGGAAGAGGTGGGGGATAGTGCTGGTGTAGCAGCGGAAGAGGGACTGTTCCATGTATCCTATGAAGAGGCAGGCATAGCTTGGGCCTATGCGGGTGCCCGTGGCCACCTAGGAAGTGGGAGAAGTTAAAGGAGAAGTTGTTAACGATAAGGACAAGTTTGGTTAAGCAAATGAGGGTGTCAGTGGAGGGGGACTGGTTGGGCCTGTGGGAGAGGAAGAAGCGAAGGCCTTTTAGGCCATCCACATGGGGGATTCAAGTGTAGTCCAACTAATTGAGGTGACCAACACCCCCCCGACCTAGCAATTATCAGTACAGGATTGTTATTCAATCCACAATGAGGTAATATCTTGATAAAATACTCTCAATTATTAGTTCCTTAAAATTGATTCTGAGAGACAACATTTAACTGGAAGTGTTCTGTAGTAAACTGATACTCTGTGCCTTTTCCCCAACCAATTTTTGCATCTTATAGAAATCTGGATATTGTAAAAACTTCAGAATTATTCAATAATTTCCTGAAATTAATATTCAGTTTGTAATACATTTCTACTCGCCATCCCAAACCAGTTCTGAGGAAGGGTCACTGGACCCAAAACGTTAACTCTGATCGCTTCTTCACAGAGGCTGCCAGACCTGCTGAGCTTTTCCAGCAACTTCTGTATTGTTCCTGATTTACAGCATCAGCAGTTCTTTCAGTTATTACGTGGGAAATCTTGCTCCATTCTTTCTGTGCCTGAGTTTTACATTTTTTGTGTATGTCTGGAGCAGTATTACTGCCTCCAGATGCACCAGTGAAAACCATCTCCTGTATAGAATGGTCTAGATCCTCTTGAAGGTAGCAATTCTATCCAATTTTCCTTAATGAGTTCTGCATAGCTCTCAAACTTTGTCATTACTGCAATGTAATCCATTTTGTGATTCTTTAGATTGTCTCTTTGAAAGATATCTGGGAAATAAACAATTAAATGATAATCACCTGCATGGATGCAATGGGCCAAATGGTCTTTTTCTGTGCTGTAGATCTCTACGACTAAAGATTTTCTCAGTGTCACCACTTCAAGATTAAGGAGTAGGAGTCCCACAGATGGAACCCACAAAGTTCCATGCCTCACAACTGCATGGCCCATAGAGGCAGTCTGTTTGGACACTTCTGTAATAAATTAATTTTTGAGGCTTTTGTTTACATATAGGAAATAAGATGTGTATGTGTCATTGCTGTGCCATTATTTTTGTTTTTTTAAATCCTAAATTGCATTTGTTTTGTATCCTTCCAATTTTTCAGATTTCTTTAGTTGTTAATGTTGCCAGCGAGTGTGGCTTCACAGAAAATCACTACAAAGACCTACAACAATTACAACGTGAACTGGGACCAATGCATTTTAATGTCCTGGGATTCCCCTGTAACCAGTTTGGGAATCAAGAGCCAGGCTCTGACCAAGAAGTTGAAAGGTTTGTGCGAAGGACCTATGGAGTTTCCTTTCCAATGTTCAGTAAGATCAATGTCAAAGGTCCTGGTGCAAATGCAGCATTCAAATATTTAACAGGTAAGAATGAGATTTTCCAGAATTTAGGAATGACTATTCACTTAAAATATAAAATAAACCACCAATAGAGTCTACCTGCATTATACAAAACATGCAGTAGTTTCTCTGAAATAAGAGGATATCAGAACTCGCAATATAAACTTCCATTAATGTTCTGCTAGTTTCCCAAATATTCAAAACATTTATCATGGTTATGGTTACTCTGAATGCTAGTTGGTAATGTTTTGAATTTTATTGACAGTCGCAGACACCAGATAATCTCTAGTATCTTGCTCAAGTGGTCCTTTTCTAATTTTCTAATTTGTGAGTTGAGACGAAGAGTCAGGGAGCCCTGTAAGGTATTCCAACAGAAATATTATCTTGTTTCTTGCATAATTTTTATGCAGGAGACACATTTCTGTTCTCTAGAACTTCATGTAAGGTGGCTGCTCTCCATTCCAAAATTTAAAAGTCTGGCTTATAAGATTCTAATTCAATTGGGCACAATCACAGTTCCTCATAGTATTTTGTTTTAACAATGTTTCATGCTGCTGGTTTAAATTCCTAGTTTTACGATGCATCAAACATGTGAGGATAGAAATGTTAAATTAAAACAAAACATTTTACAAACACACAACTGGCCTGTTAGCGTCCGATAAGAGAAAACATGCATTAATATTTTGGAAAACTGAAAGAACTGCAGATGCTATAAATCAGGAACAAAAACGGAAGTTGCTGGAAAAGCTCAGCAGTTCTGGCAGCATCTGTGAAGAAAGAATCGGAGTTAACGTTTCGGGTCCGGTGACCTTTCCTCAGAACAGTGGAAGGCTCTGAAGAAGGGTCACCGGACCCGAAACATTAACTCCGATTCTTTCTTCACAGCTGCTGCCAGAACTGCTGAGCTTTTCCAGTAACTTCCGTTGATGTTCATTAATATTTTGGGTTTGGGTTGAGAATCAAAATGAATTTGAAGAGAGGAGGTAGGTGAGCCTTGTTGTAGGTTTGATCAAATGGGGAGAGGGGAAAAGGTATGTAAATGCCACGAACCAATACTGACTGAAAAGGTCTGGACAGTTTCTTAACTTATTTGCAAGGTGGAGAGTGCTGGTTAATGTGCTTAGACTATTTCAATATGATGGGGAAAGCATGACAGTCCTTCAAAATAGAGGTATTAAAATGAAATCTGAATGAGAGGAAGTCAGATTGAGAGCTGAAATGTATAGATCTATAGATAATCCTCTGACTCTGAGTAAGAATACTTGGCCAGCCGATATATATGCTGACATTTTAGATATACATCGTAATTATTGGTTTAAAAAAAACTTTTGACCAGTTCCTGCCCTTATTTCCAATATAAATATCTAAGGGACAGAGTTCTGACTGAAGCACTAAATTGTGAAAATCCTCAATTATTTTATCCAGAAAGTTGCTAAATATCTTAGGAGCAGTGGTGCTGTCATTAAAGCTTGTGTTAAGAACATAGAAACAGAATTAGCCATTCAAGCTGCCAAGTCTGCTTCCCCCATTCAATTTTATCATGGGCTGATCACATGGAATAAAGGGAGAGCTAGCCAGTTGGATACAAAAGTGGCTGAAAGGTAGGAGACAGAGGGTGGTGGTGGAGGGTTGTTTTTCGGACTGGAGGACTGTGACCAGCGGTGTACCACAAGGATCAGTGCTGAGTGCACTGCCTTTTGTCATTTATATAAATGAGTTGGACGTGAATATAGGAGGTTCAGTTAGTAAGTTTGCAGGTGACACCAAAATTGGTGGTGTAGTAGACAGTGAAGAAGGTCACGTCAAAGCACAACGGGACCTTGATCAGATGAGCAAATCGGCCAAAGAGTGGCAAATAGAGTTTAATTTAGATAAATGTGAGGTGCTTAATTTTGGAAAGGCAAATCCGGGCAGAACTTATACACTTAATGGTAAGGTCCTGGGAAGTGTTTCTGAACAAAGAGAATGTGAGGTGCAAGTTCATAGTTCCTTGAAAGTGGAGTTGCAGGTAGACAGGATGGTGAAGAAGGCATCTGGTATGCTTGCCTTTATTGGCCAGTGCATTGAGTAAAGGAGTTAGGAGATCATTGTTGCGGCTGTGCAGGACATCGGTCAGGCCACTTTTGGAATACTGAGTTCAATTTAGTATCCCTCCTATTGGAAAGATGTTGTGAAACTTGAAAGGGTTCAGAAAAGATCTACAAGGATGTTGTCAGGGTTGGAGGATTCAAGCTATAGAGAGAGGCTGAATAGGCTGGGGCTATTTTCTCTGGAGCGTCGGAGGCTGAAGGGTGACCTTATAGAAGTTTTTTAAATCATGAGGGGCTTGGATAAGATGAATAGCCAAGGTCTTTTCTCCAGGGTAGGGGAGTCCAAAACCAGGGGGGGTATAGGTTTGAGGTGAGAGGGGAAAGACCTAAGGGGCAACTTTTTCATGCAGAGGTTGGTGTGTGTATGGAATGAGGTGGTGGAGGCTGGTACAATTACAACATTTAAAAGACATCTGGATGGGTATATGAATAGGAAGCATTTAGAGGGATGTGGGCCAAATGCTGGCAAAGGGACTAGATTAATTTTGGATATCTGGTTGGCATGTACGAGTTGGACCGAAGATTCTGTTTCCGTGCTGTACAACTTATGTTCAACTCATCTACCTCAATGTTACTTTCCACTCTGTCTTCATATCCTTTGTTGTCATCAGTCTCCAGGAATCTCTTGACTTCTGTCATGAACCTGCTCAATGAACCTGTTTTCACAACCTTTGGGGTAGAGAATTCCAAACATTCACCATCATGTGAGTGAAGAATTTCATTCTCATCTCAGTCTTAAATGGCCAGCCCTTATTCTGTAACTCTGTTCCCTGGACTCATTAGCCAGAAGCAATGTCTTACCTATATATATCTTGTCATACCCTGTCAGAATTTTGTAAGTTTCAATGAGCTCATCCTTTATTCTTCAAAGCTATAGAGAATACAAGTCCGGTCTCCTCAGTCTCTCCTCATAAGATAATAATACCATAATAAAGTCATCCCAGTGGTTAATTTGGTCAGCCTCTGTTGCACGCCCTCTATGACAAATATATCTCTCCTTACATGAGGTAAAGCTGTGCACAATGCTACAAGTGGGATCTCACTAAGGCTGCAATTAATTGGAATTGTGAAAGAATTGAGAATGGGAAGGGAGCTGCAGTGGACAACCTTTAGAAATAAATGTTAACATTTTGGACATATTGCTAAATACTACTGCATGTAAGAATGGTCTTCTATTGTCTTCCCAGATAGCATAATATTTTCTATTTTCTGTTTTCTGTTACTGACAAAACTGTAGTATTTTTTAAAAAGCTTTTAAAAAGTAATAATAAACCAGACACATATACAATGTTCTATGATTTTGGGCTGTAAAATAAGCCAGGAAAACATTGTTCATCGAATGACATTTTCCAGTATTGTTGTTTGTGAATTCATGTTCTCCAGAAACATTATTTGTCAAACTGTGTAACAGTTTCACACAGCAGTGAAGCATGTAGCAATCAGGATTGGCGACATAAGCTGATTTCTCACGTCTCTTGCTTGGTAATTGTAGATCCCAAATATCACCTTTATGAGTTCTGCTGCTTTAACTAGAATTAGACAAGACAGGAACTGGTCCAGCACATGCTTGACATAACAAGTGAGTCAGTGTTAACAGCATATCTACTCCACAGGTTCAATATTCAAGTGGGTTGCTTTGTTGTGCTGCGGAAACACTCATCTACTCCTTTGTCACCTCTAGACCTGACAATTTCGGTGTTTTCTTGGATGGCCTCCCACATTTTACCCTTAAACTTAAGTTCATACAAAATGATGCTGCCCTATTCTAAGTCACACTAAATTCCATTCACTCATCACTCATGACCTACATTGGTTTCCAGTCTGACAGTAGAGTCAATTTTAAAATTCTCATCCTTGTTTTCAAATACTGTCATAACCTTACCCCTCATCTACTAATCAGCATCTGTTTCAGTATAATAACATCCCATAAACATACCCTTGGCCAAACACACCTTTACCCCTCATCTTAGTAACCTTCTCCAGTCGTACAACTGAACTGCAGTTCTGGCCCCTTGCACATCTCCAACCCTGAGGTTATGCTTTCAGCTGCCTAGGTCCAAAGTTCCAGCATTCCCTCCATAGACATCACTACCTTTCGCTCTCTCTTTCTTTATGACACTCCTCAAAATAAGGTTAACTTTGACCAAGCTTCAGGTCACATTCCTGCTATTGTCTTAACTGGGTCAGTGTCAAACTTGTAATAGTACTATGGCTTTAAGAGGTGTATTTTGTTTTTATTTTTTGAAGAGAGGTTTTGAGCCATAGGAGTGAAGCTGACTATTCAAATCCAATAAAGTAAACAGCTTGTGAGGCCTTGGGTTTTCTTATAAAGTTAGAACCATAGAAGCAGCCTGAATGGACGGACTCAGGCTCCCACCGAACTGGGATTTAGTTTAGCTTTTAGTAGTTGCTGGGGTTTTGAAGCTATATGTGGAAGCTGCTACACCGTTCTCTCTGTTACAGATAAAAGTTGGAGTTCTCCGTACTGCCAGAATCACAGGTCTTGGCCAAAGGTGTGTTTATGGGATATTATTATACTGGAACAGTTGCTGATTATTAGTTAAATAATCTATTACACTGTTAAGTTTTCCAGTGGTGTTAAAGTTACACCAATTCTTCTTTCTTTTGTTTATATTTTAACTGGGGGTAAGAATAAAGTGTGTTTTGCCTAAAGCTGAATCGTGTGACCATTTGAATTACATCTGGATCACAATGCCTTAATACTTGCTTTTAAATATGATAAAAGTTATGGTCTAGACTATCTCCTTGATTTACTTTCAGGGAGTTTTGTCTGGTCTGTAACAAACTTTAGTTCATTATGGGTGATATATAAATGCCAGTTGTTATCATTGAAAACAATCATGCAACTTTTTTGTCAAAATTCAGGTAAATGTGAAGATGTGAAAATGTGAAGAAATACTCATAAAAATTGTTTCTGCATTTAATTATAGACTCCTCTGGGAAGGAGCCAAACTGGAATTTCTGGAAGTATCTTGTGGATGCGAATGGTGAAGTGGTGGATGTTTGGGAAACATCTGTTCCAATTGCAGAAATAAAGCCAAAAATTGCAACGTTAGTGAGGCAACTCATTGTGAAACGAAAAGATGAATTGTAATTTAACTCCAAAATCTGTAATATCTAATATTATCTTATTCTAGTTTGCACCACTTTTAACAAATTATTTTTGTGTTATCATCTCTGTTCTGTGAAGTCCACTAATTCATTCCCTGTGACACTATATTTTCTTTGGCATAGGTTATGCCTTTCTACTGCAATAAAAATAGTTGAAGAAGTGGAGCAAATTGTACATCATTTATTACTTTTTTCATTGAGGGAGAAGTCAAGTTTATTGTGTGCTCTAAATATAAATGAATAAATACAACAAAATTAGAATTATAATGAATAAGATACACTAAGACTTCAGTCACTGCTTACATTGTTTTGCAATTTTCTTGTTTTTTTTTAGATAACTTATCCGATATTATCCTTTATATTTTCAAGTAAAATTTATGTTAGTGGGTTGTTTACTTTCTTCAAACTAAGAAAACTAGATCTGTTTTCAAAAGATAGGGAAAGATGTTTTATTATAGATTTAAAAACTTCCTAAAAATGATATCTCTCAGTATAATGTTATTTTTGTATTTGAAAGGAGGAGTGGCAATTGGGATGAGGGAAACCAACGGCAAATGTAGTTGTAAGACAGAATCTTTTCAGCTGCCTGCCCAAAACAGTTGAAAAATGGCAGCTGGTTGGGGATGGAATTCCTGCTGGCAAGAATGCTAAATGGATAATTTGGGGTGGCCTTTGATAATGAAAGGGACACTTTGGAGTAGCAGAAAACAAATTTTCCTTGTTGGGTCTAGATGAATGTTCCTGCTCCTGACTCTACAAGCAACTATTTTTAAGAAATCTTAGATTAAATGTTTTCTTCTCATTGTTTTATCCCTTATGAGAAAGCTACTGAGACTTGCCTTGTAAGGTCAGAATAAAAATTCTACTTGGCCTGATGATGTCAATGGGTCCAGATGAAAGCTGTGTATTTCAGGAAAACTCCACTAGATTCAGACAGGTGCTTCTTCTACTGTCTCCTTAGAGTGTCTTAAAATCAGGGTAAACTCGGTAGGAAATTGGTGAATAAGGCATTTGAGACACCTTGAACTGTGCACCAGTTTCGGATAGGGTAAAAGTGTCCCGTTTTTGCTCACCATATGTCTCATTATTAGTACATGGCAACTATGAAGAATATGAATGTTATGTTTTTAAGGCAATGAAATGTATTTAGAGAAATGCCCAGTTCACATACATTTTGATGGAAAGATGGAGTGACCTCGAGTTTGGCCCTGTTCTGAGACACACAATGGTGAATGTGTTTTACATACATATGTTGTTTATGCCCTCCTAATGATTGTACAGATTTAATTGAAAGTGTATCCAACCTTGACAGGCTTCTACCTAGAAAGATGGATGTGAAGCCACAGTTCCCTATGTTTAATTTTCTATCTAGTTCTTCCTTTATGAGGTCCAATGATCATCGAGCTACAGGAAGTATCTTATTTGCCACTAGTCCCAGTGACAGTCTGTACCAGTATTCAGAAGATGATTAATGGAAGAACATTAGAGAGCAGCAGAGTAATTCACTGAATATATTCATCTTTGAGTTACACAAATCTTGATGTTTCAGGAAGCTGATGGGTGGAAAAGCGGAATTGTGGACAGAATTATATCAGTTATCATAATAAATAAAAAAACTGCAGATGCTGGAGATCTGAAACAAACAAAAACAGAAATTGCTGAAGAAAAGTCACTGAACTCTAAATATTAACTCTGTTTCTCTCTGCCCACATGCTCTTGGACCTCCTGAGTTTTACCAATAATTTCTGTTTTTGTTTAGACCAGTCATAAACGCGTTGAGAGGTGGAGCAGGCTAAACGTCAAATGTTCAACCCCTGTCATTGTTTATTATGCCTTGTATATGCTGTGAAGAATCTCAGGAAAGTTGAGATATCCAGTAGAAGTACTTATTGTGTTAAATATTAAATAAATCTGCATAGAAAAATAAAAGTTTGAGTGTAGCATTTCAATTCTCTGTAAACATTAAGTAGTGTCAGTAAAGAAAGATCTCAGTTTGTTAAGGGTAATGGTTCAAAGATGAACAAAATAAATTCAAATCTTGTAGCAATTTGATTTTATGACAGGCAACATTGTTTTATCCTGACTGTTGTCATTCCATTCTCTTCATGCTTTAACTTCTGTACAGCTGATCTGAATTTGTTACAATTTTACTCCTTTCAGGTTTGTTTTTCTGATGTATGTCTCCCCCCCACCCTAAACCGGTGTAATCACTGTGTCCATTCTGTACACCCAATCCTGTGAAACATCTAATCAATGATGGGCATTCCTGTGGACAGCCCCAGGTTCCTATGATCTCATGGTGTTTAACAGACATTGTAATCGCCAGGCCTTGGGATCTTTCTATGCATTCTATCAATTAGCATTCGAAAGTTACTGGTTGTACTCCTTCTAGTCTGTCCCAGACTTGTTTACCTCTAAGGACTGCTTGAATTCTGTTATTCATTGTATTTCATATATTATCTCTATCAAATTCAGTTATTCCTCTTACATAATTGGGACAGTGGATAATATATATAAAAAATATAAAAGACAGTTGGTTTTAACCAACTGCTATAAGATTCATATTATTAATTTCTATTATAAAGTTAGTTATAAAGTGTAAAGTTATACAGCTCCTTCCACTGTTAGCACTTGTAACTAATAAGTTGCAACCAATCTATTTCGTTCAGTGCGTACCAGGCATCTTTTTAAAGATAAAAGAAAGCGTTTCCTGAGACTAATTAACTTTCACATGTATGTTTAAATATTTTTCCCCTAATGTTTATATTATACTTTGGGTATACCTGTATCTACAATTATGTTGAAATCTATTTCTATGATTATCTGAAGAATCTTTAACTAGAACCTATTTCTAAATAATGTGAATAATTTCAAAGAAACAACCTATTACTACAAAATAACTTTAGCTGTTGTTTTCACAGCTGCTTAATGTGTTAGGTTGGCTGGTTCATGGGCTGAGATTTACAACACTTGTTCTAACCGATGCTGTTCACTTAATGGGACAACATCCTTTAATTAATGAGGCTGAAATCAATCACTTGTCTATCCTTAGATGTCCTCTTATCAAACTGTCTTGGATGGTTGCTTGCAGGGCCTCACATTCACCGTGGAGTAGCCCTGTTCAGAGATACCATTATGTTCCACTTAAATGCTAGAGCAGGCTGTTTTATTCTGTTTATCTCTTGTTGGCCATTTTGTGTCTTAATGCTAGAGCAGGCCGTTTTATCCTGTTTATTTCTTGTCGGACATTTTGTGTCTTTCATACATGGGCCACCCTTACAATAAGTGATAGATATGTTTCCAACAAAAGTTTGCATTAATTTAGCATCTTTAGATTTTCCTTGTTTTTCAGCAAAATTTGATCAAGGGAAAGTGTTATGTAAAGTTATATTATTGAGAAATATAATTAAATTCTGTCAATTTGGCCATCCTGAGATGTGCCTCCTGTCATTATCACTGATGTAAATAACCTTGGTGACTGGATACTGGCCTCTGTGGAGTTATTTAAAGGGTGACAAGAGAAGGATCAATAATGTAACCATGCAAAAGCTCCTACAACTCAAGCCAAACTAGAGTTCAAATAAGCACTAATGGAAGTGGACACCCTTACCAGTCTGACTGAGGTTGGGGAACACCACTTGAGTGAAAGCAATTGCATAGCCTTACCCAGGACATATTCTGAACAGAGGTTCTCTAGATCAGCCCACAGTAAAATCCCAAAACAAAACCAAGTTTGGCCAAATGGTTAAAATTTTCTTTAGGATCTGGGCCAGGAAGCCATTGCTGCCAGAATGCAGACTTGAGACAGCAAAAAAGTCCAATGAGACTAAATTGAGTAAGAGAACTCATAGGTTGGTATCCAGTTATTCCATTATTCACATTAGCCATTTCTGCTTTAATGCCCTCAAAACTCAGTTACTGACATTTTTTTCTAAAAAAAGTACTCTCAGATCCATTCCTCTCTCTCTAAAACAGAATGTGAAATTCAATCATATTATGGTCACTGCTATCTAAGGGTAACCTTCACTTTGAAATAATTAACTAATTCAATCTCATTGCACAGTACTAGGTCTAGTATAGCCTGCTCGCTGGTCAGCTCCTGAACAGACTGGTCTAAGGAACTATCCTGAAAATATTCAATAGACTCTTCATCTGGGTTACGTTTGCCTACCTGACATTTTTAGTTGACATGTAGATTAAAATCTTCAATGACTATTACTATGCCTTTCTGACAAGCTGTCATTATTTCATAGAATCCCCACAGCATGGAAGCAGGCCATTTGGCACTTTGAGTCCATACTGACTCTCCAAAGAGCATCCCACCACCCCCACCCTATTCCTGTAACCCTTCATTTCCCGTGGCTAATCCACCTAGCCTGTACATTCGTAGACACTACAGGCAGGTTATCATGGTTAATCCACCTAACCCGCACATCTTTGGACTGTGGAAGGAAACCGGAGCACCTGGAGCAGACCCACGCAGACACAGGGAGAATGTACAAACCCCACACAGACTGATGCCTGAGGGTCTCTGCTGCTGTTAGGCAGCAGTACTAACCACTGAGCCATGTGCCACCCTTTTTGTTTCTTTATTTCTTCATTTATGCTCCACCCTACTACGTGGTTACAATAGAGGACCTGTACACCTCTCCCATGAAAGGACTTTTGACTTTATCATTTTTCATCTCTATCTGAATAGTTTCCACATTTTGTTTTCCTGATCTTAGGCCATTCCTCCCTATTGTGCTAATTTGATCATTAACTAACAGATCCACCATTCCACCTTTGCCCCATTTCCTGTCCTTAACAAAAACATTAAAAAAAAGTTTTCTTTGGATTTGTTTTGTGACTAAATGTGCTGTGTTTTTTTTTGTTCAAGGAAAGAAAGGGAATTATAGAAAGTTGATTGTCTTATATGGAATATGAAAAAAAAAATACTGCTCAGTTGTATGGTAAGATAAAATATACAATATGAGAAAAACATTTGTTTAGTTTTCATTTGTTTTATTCAAGGATTGTTTGTATGTCTTCAAAAGTTTCTACTTAACAAGAAGAGAATATGTTAATAAAGCAAGTAATTAAACAGTAATTAATAAGTGAATTGGCAATTAGGTTAAAGGACAGGTCGATAGAGATGCAACAGTAGACATTTAAGGGAATATTTCGGAACACATGGAACAGATGCATTCCAATGACTAAGAAAATTCCAAGCAATTAATCCCAAATTAATT